ATAAGTAAAAACGCTTTCCTGTTCTAAGAGGTCACAAATTAGTGGGACACCTAAAAAAGAAAGCCAGAGACTCCAGTCAGTGTAGGGCAGAGCTGTAAGGGAGGCAGGCAGGAGCAATAAGGGGAACTGGGGGAAGGCAGGAGCCCCTGCAGAGGGTTGGTAACATCCGGGGTGGGGGTGGGGGTGGGGGTGGGGGAATGTTCAATGGGAGGCAGGAGGCATGAGGATATGAAAGAGAGCTGACAGCTTGTTGGGGCAGATCACTGGGACAGGGAGAGATGAGAGGGATGGAGCAAGGAGGATCCAGGACATGGGGTCCAAGCTCAGATGGAAACATCAGGGGTTTTGGTTTGGGACACTAAGTTTGGCCCTTAGTGCCCAGATTCCTTTCTCTAAGCCTGAGGGCCAGGCATTGGCATTTCATTTTTTTTTTTTTTTTTTACTGGTACCAGGGATCGAACTCATGACCGCCTGCTTGCAAGGCAGGTGCTTATGCCACTGAGCTAAATTCCCAGCCCCTATCGGCATTTCTATATACTTATTTTCATTTTGTGTACTTTGGGGACATGGAAATATTTTGCTTTTCTGAGCATGGAGTCAGTTTCCCTTATCAGGACAATGGGCTCTCTTGGGCTCTACATTCTGCAATAGCTTTAACAGGGAACAGCAGAGGGGTCCCATAGCCTTTGCCCACCATGCCACCCACCTTCTCAGGATTGGAGTGGTAGGTGACAGTGCCTTCTTCACAGGGCTATGGGCCCTGCTTTCCCTCCTCCTCCATGTTCCCTATAATTTTATATTGAGACCCGTGGTCATGACGTGGATTTTACTGCACTAACGACATGGCCTGCCCAGGTTTAATGATAAAATCCATACTCTGGCCCTGGGCCTGCTCCTCGTTTGCATAATTCCCAGAATACAGCTCCCTGAAGCTTTTGACCTGAGCCATTACAGTGGCCATAAAATGGACCATAAAACTGCTGGGGATGGCCAAGAGGAGGGGCTGTGGTCTTGCTGGGGTGGGAATGAAGCCCTCAACCTCCTACTCTTCCTAGGTTCCTGAGAAGGCATCTTCTGGCTCTTTTTTCCTCCCACAATTCCCAGAATTTGGGAACCAGCATAGGCTAGTGAGGAGTCCAGAAGTCCTTGGTCCAGTTGTCCCTCTGATGCAGGAATCCGTTCCCCAGTAGCAGCATCATAGGTAGGCGTAGGTCACAGGTAGGGCTAGGAACCTGTCAAGGCAGGCTGTCAGGAAGCATCATCTCCCTGACTATCCCACTGTTTCCGTTGCTAAGCTCCCCAACAGCTGGGCAAGGTTTTTTGCCACAGGTAGGTCTAGTTCATAAGGCCCAGGTCAAATCCTGTCCCTGTCCAAGAGAACTGGCTCCCTGGGAAGGTCAGGAGCCAGGCTGAGCAGCATAGTGGGGAACAGTGGAAATGGGAGGGGATGGGACAGGGACTGGCCCGGCTGTCAGCACTAAAGATGATGAATGGGGGAGGTGAGGCGGGAGGCCCAGTGTTATCGGCAGTGGATGGGAGCGTGGGGCTCTCCGCTTCTGCTAATCCCCAGGCGCTGCCTCAGCCCTTGCACTGATAACGAGGAAATGGGACTGACAACAATTTTTAGCTGAGAGATTCTTCACCAAAATGCCAGGCGGCTGGAGGTCTGACAGCGCCTGATTGAGTGTGTGAGTGTATGGGGGACACCCGCAGTCCCCTCCCCACCCATGCAAAGATGGATCGCTCATTCTGCCTCCCGTCCACATTCATTACTGCACCTCCCTCCTCACCACCCAGCCGCAGTGGGGCCTGCCACCTCTACTTCTCTGCCAGCCTGCCACAGGCATCTTGGAGGCAGGAGAGGGCAGGCAAGGGAGAATGTTCCTGACCCTATCCTCAGCCTCACACAGGGCAACTCTGGTTCCAACAGCAGACAAGGGCCTGTGGCAGAGCCAGGACTGGGAGTCAGGTCAGGTCCCAGTGTGGAGGCTGCTCAGTCGTGTGACCTCCAGAGGTTTCTTTTACTTGCTGAGCTGCCTACCATCCTGCCAATCAGCAACATGGCTCCAACAGGAAGTGACTGACTATACACTGCAAAGAGAGACTGGCTAGTTGAGTGGAGAGATGAGGTCAAGCCAAGGTGCCCTCTCAGCTTGGGCAGGGCTCCAACCTATCCAGCCCTCAAGCCTTGCAATGAGGCCTCAGGTGCCTGGGGGCCTAACTCAGCCCTCTGCTGCCCCCCTCTGTTGGGCCCTCAGGCTGCTGCTTCTCTGTCGTCTTCTCTAGAGAAGTTGGGGAGTATGTGAGGATCTCATTCAAAGGGAAAGCCCTGTCTTGCTAGGTCACTAATCCACATCTGAACTTGCAACTCCCCACCATGTGGTGCTTCTCTGGTGTGGACCATTTGCTTTTGTCCCAGTTCAATTGCTTGGGGTTCCATTTTTGCCTCTTTGCTGGTCCAAGCAGCAATCTCCAAATCTACAGTCTTTTCTCTGCAGACCACAAAGGCATGGCTTGACTGCCTAGAGTTTGACTAGGGCAGCCATGGTGAACCTTTTAGCCCTTTCAACAATACAAACAGCCTGCTGTGGCTCATGTGCCATAGGTTTGCCACACTGGGTCAGGGTTAGGGAGCATTAAAATGAGGATGAAGGGGACCCTTATGGCAGATGGTAACAGAAGCTGGATATATATTGTGTCCTTGTGTGAAAATGCATATGCCCTTCCCTTCCTGACTTCATCCCCATTTTCTAGTGACTAAGACACAGAATAGAACTTCAAGAAGAACTCAACAGAGTTGCCTCTTTCTAACTATATGACCTTTACCAAATCACTTACCAATTCTGAGCTTTATTTCCCCTTATATGAAGTGAGGATAATAATAATCTAACTCCTAGGACTTTTGTGAGATCCAGTTAAATCAGGGCTGTATACAAGTGAGGAGTTGTTATTGTTTCGGGTAAGATACTAGTACACATTTGTTGTTTGTGACTATCATTTTCTCCTCCTGGCATCGACCTGGCCTGGTCTTGTATCCTGCCTTCTTCCCTGTTATGATTAAGACCATCTACCACTCAAGAAGTACCTGAGTGGCCCTGGCTCCTCTGGACCTTGGGAGTTCCTTCTCCTGAGTAGCCATACCTATGTATCTTTATGGATTTATATGTCAATGTGTTCATCTGTCTATCTATCCAATTATTTATCCATTATCTGTTCGATAATCAGACTTTATTGAATGTCACTATATGGTAGCCTATAGGTTGATATTGCACATAATTTACCTCATTTGCCTTGTAAGAGTCCTGTGAGGTAAGAATTATTATCTCTATCCCTCTACGAGGAATATTATCTCTATTCCTCTATGAGGAAAGTGAAGCTCAAAATAATGCAGTAGCAGATTTACAAAGGGAAGAGCAGGAATTTACAGCAAATTTATTTATTTATTTATTTTATCGGTACCAAGGATCAAATTCAGGATTGCCTGCTTGCAAGGCAGGCGCTTATGCTGCTGAGCTAAATCCCCAGCCCCAAGAGCAGGAATTTAAACCCAGGTGTGTTTGACTCTATAAACCTGAGCAACATCTACATACCTGTCTACTCATTTACCTAGCTAATGACTCAGTCCTATTCCACAGTTGTCTACTGATGTCTGCTATGGATCTGTTATAGTAAAGATGCCAGACAATAATGGACAAGACAGACACAATTTCTATCCTCAGAAAACTTGGGACCTGATTATGGATTGAGATATTAAACAAGTGTCCCCAGAGTAGTCTTGAGAAAAGGGAAATACATGGAACTAAAGGATTATATCATCTGGTCTAGGAGGTGAAAGATGTGACATTTAAGCAAAGGTCTGAAGGAGGAGTGGGAACCACTCAAGCAATGATTAAAGGAAATAGTGGTTTATATAGAGAAAGCGGCAAGTTTGAAGGTACAGAGGGGAGAAAGCCTAAATGAGGAGTTGAAAATAGCCCATGTGGTTGGAGAAGAAAGAGTAAGGGGCAGAGTGTTGAAATAGGATAGGAGGCCACACCTTGAATGACTTTTTAATCTATGCTAACGATTTTGGCTATTATTAGTTTTTAAACATGCAACAAGAAGCCTTTGAATAGTTGTAAGCAAGAGAATGACCTATCTGGTTTGCATTTTTAAAAAGATCCTTGTAATCGCCAAGTGGCTGATGGCAGAGGGAACAACACAGGAACAAACACAGGAAAGTTATTTAGGAGATTATCTCAAGAATTCAGGTGAGAAATGACAATGCCAGCATTCAGCATTATGGATGAATGGAAGCAAACTGTCGGAAGTGGAGGGTAAAGGCCTAAATAAGAGTTAGAGGTGGCTTCAGGATTTCAGCTTTGACTGCTACAATGGTATCCATTTACTTACTCAGAGAACAGGCAGAGAGCAGCAGGCTCACTCAAGAAGAAAATGGGTTCAGTTTCAGATTTCTCAGTTTGAGGAACTATTAAGATATCTGTGTGAAAATGCTGAATAGGCACCATATGTTGAGCCAGATTTGGAAGTGTAGCCCTAGAAGACATCAACGTATAGATAAAAACTGCAATTCACTGCTATGTCCTCTTTACCAAGAAAAATGTCTGGCCTGTGGTCAACACTCAGGAAATAGTTGCTGAGTGAATGGATGAAGTGAAGGGCAGGTATGTTCACAGGGTAATATGACGAGTCTGCAACAGAACCTCCAAGAGGTTAACTCAGACAGGCAAAGGAAATTTAAATCATTAGGACTAAAAGCAATGGTCAAGAGGTAGAGGATGAGAAAAATGGGAGTTGTGACATTCTTGAAGCCAAGAAGGAAGGTTTCCAGGAGAGGAGTGTCAGCAGGAGTCAAATGGTGCTGAGAGGTCAAGAATGTCCCATCCGCTCATCCTATGCGTAGTACAGCTGTCTCCTCTCCACTTCTTCACCTATCCCTCCAAACCATTAATTGCCCACTTGTGCCTTCTCACTAATCCCCTTCTTATTCTTCCTTCCAGAAAACCATGATTGGTGCCTCTGCTCAATGTGGGAGAGGAAGAGTTAACATGATGACAGACGGCATTTTTTACCTTCAGTCAATATGAACAAGGCCCCAAGACTATGATTCCAAACATCTGGATTTCATCAATATGTGATCTGTCATCGTATATTGGCATTCCCCAGTCCCCGCGCCAGAGCAATGCGGCTGGTTTTATTAATACGTCAAATACATTATCCGTGTAATACACTTGTCTGGCTGGGGCCTCCCGCTGGGGCGGGGCAGCGGATTTGAATGTATGATGAATCAGTTTGCATTACATGTTCGTAAGTCATCATTTGTCAGGATTAATAGGCATCCCTGGTCGAGGAGGTGGGGGTAGGGCAGGCAGGGAGAGATGTATATTTAGCTGTGGCCCATACTTATCTGCTAGTGCCTAGGGATCCTCAGAAAACAGCTGTGTACCCTCTTGTCCAGACCCCAGGTTAGCAGCTAGTGCATAAGGGACAGAGGTGACATTTCCAGCAGTTTTAGGGTCACTTGAAACCAAATAGACCTATTTGTCTCTGCTTCAGGGTTGCCAAACAGCCAAAGAGGATATGGGTGCGTGGGTGGGGGGGCATTTGCACAAGCTGGCTAATTCCTTCTTACCCTTTAGAACTCACTCTAGAATTTCTTCTTCCAGGGAGCTTCCCTTAACTCCCTCAGACTGAATTAGGTGCCTCCTCTGTGTTCCCACAGCCTCCTGTGCTGTGTCTTTTGCAGTCCTCCTAACACAGTGTTGTTATCATCTGCTGTGTGTCTAGCACCTTTAGAGCATACATTTCTGGACAGCAAAATTAACTTGCTCATGATATAGTCCCAGCATCTAACAGAGGGCCCAAAGTAAGAAGAAAGTAATAGCAATAGGAGAAATCAATAGATAGTCCTTGAATTGAGAGATAACTGTTGCCCTTGCCAAACTGCCAGACATTACCCTGCAGACATTGCCCTGGAGAGTGGGAGACTTTCTTGACTCTGGTCTAGTCTGGTCACTTATTCTGAGGTATACACTTTGCTTTCCTGACTTTTCTTCCTTTCATAAGGCTTGTGTAGACCCTTCACACAGTATCAGTTTCCTTGCAGGTGACATACATACACAGATCAAGCATACAGGAGTGACAGTTCATACTCACATGTCCTTGCCGTCTTCCTTCCCCCTCTGTTCTGCCCATAGAATCTCCAATATCAGTTCCACGTGACCTCCTGTCAACTCCAGGAACAAGCCTCTGTTTGGTCTCTGCACTTCTCTTGTGATAGATACTATTTCCTGTCTCTGGCAACAGAGGGGGGCCTGAACCAACTGAGCCAGATGTGGCTTCACCTGCAGGGTAGCCAGGGAGTGATTAGCTTATAGACAGGTTTAGGCTCAAAATGGAGCCAAAAGTTGTGGGCCAAGGCACAACCAAGCTCACTAAGTCCTGATCATGGAACCTGGACCCTTGGACCCACAAGCCTTTGCTACCTCCAGTGCACCAGCCAACCTGTTCAGAACTGCTGGGGTCTCAGGGTCCACAGCCATTCTACACCTCTGCCTTTGGCTGTTCTAAACATAACTGTAGTCTCTCTCTTCTTGTGGAGTTACAATTCATTCCGCTCCTCCTTGAGTCAATAACTTCCTGGCAGCTCCCTGTGCTAGGCAGGGCTGGGTGAGTTTGTGGGTTGGCAGGTGGGGCCTTCCAGTGTGTCCAGGATTAGGGGCTTCAAAGTTCAGTAAAGGAGCCCATTCAAGAAAATACTCATATGTGGACAAGCACATTATCATCTCAATGTCTGTATCCACACAGATGCTCACATTGGCTAGATGCACATACCTAAGCACTTACGCATGTTTTCAAGTGTAGCTGAGTTTACCTGAGCATATTCTCGCCAGTGTGCCACCCACTCCCCTCTCCCCCAATGCTTCCTTGTCATGGAGCCAAAATGCTAAGACTGTACTGTTTAAAGTAAAATTACTTTAAGTGTGCTTTACCCCCTGCTGGCTCTGACTGTGGACTTATAAAAATGAAGTGGGAACCTCCACAGCTGTAGGCAATAAATCCTGAATGGCCGAGGAGGGCAGTGTTACCTGTTTTCTCGGCGGATGGGTGGAGCACTGAGGCCTGATGACAAGTGCTTGTGGGGCTACACGGGCAGTGGGCCAGCTGCCTTCCACAGACCTCTGAGTCGGAGAACTGGAACCTTGGCTGGGAGCAAGGACTGAGGATGCAGCAGAGGGAGACAGAGGAAGGGAAGGGTTGGGGTGGGGAGCGTGAGCAAGACAGCCACGTGCTGCTAAGGCTGAGGGGAGCCCTCGCATCTGGAGATCAATTAGCATCAATTACTGACTTCATTTAATTGTCGTCCAAGATGAATTTGTCATTTTTAGCTGGGAATTAATGGGAGACCTTCACCTCTCCCTGGCAGCAGCAGTGGAGCCCACAACGGTCACCTCAGCCTCCTAGGAGCTGTGCATCCTGCTTGGGGCAGGTGTAGGCAGCCAGAGCAGCTTCTGCTCTCTGGGTGAACTCTGGCCTGGCCCACTGGAGCCCAGGGCTGAGGAAGAGGCAGTGGGTCCTGCGTAACCGTCCTTCACCGCCTCTGGCTTCAGCCAGAAATTAATTTGCTGGGCTGAGCATGTTTACCTTTTCCCAGCGAAGGCGAGACAGTAAACAGTGGCCCTGTGGCTGAAATTGAATTGATAACTGCATCAACGTGCCAGATAACGCCTAAAATAATACGCCGATAAGGAAATTCGATTTGATTTGCTGCTGCGCATCAGATTGGCCCCATCTGTAGCTGCCTGTAATCATTTTCAATTGCGTTGGGAAACCTTATTTGTCCTTAAATATTTCTGTCATTTTTCATTGCTGGCGACAGATCCTTGGGCAGGTGGCAGGGGTGCACTGCCTCTGTGGGCGCGGGGCGGTGGCCCGAGGAGGAGGGTGGTGCAGACTCGGGAGAAAGAGGCAGGGAGCAGGCAGCCGGGCGGTGACAGCTGTTCCTCCAATCAATCACACTGTCGACAGGGAGGGACGACTGGCTGGCAGAAATTGAGTTTGCCTCACAGGGGACGATTGAGCAAATTAATAGCCCATTAGCCAAGCAGTGACCTGAGAAATGAAGGTGCAGGGGTTCCTGCTCACTCAGGCCGGCCAGGGTGGGGCAGGGCCAGGGAAGGGTCTGGGGAGGGGACAATCAGGAGGGGGAGTGGGAGGTGCTGTGCAGATGAGATGGGCATCATGTGTGGGTGGAGTGGGGAACAGACGGTGTAGGAGGAGAGATGTCCAGTTGTGGGAGGAAGATTAGAGATAGAGATTCCCAGCAGTGGTGCCGTGGACTGGAGGTCTGGGGTGGCTCTGATGTCTGTCTACTACCTTTCCATGAGTACCATGCTGATAAACTACTCCCTGTCCTTGGCTCTGGATCTTCCCTTTACTTCCTTACTTCGTGGTTCCAGAGCCCTGGAGACACGTGGTATTCTCTGTTTTCCTCCCCCCACAGCTCCCTGCTCCTCAAGCCAGGAGGTAGGGCCAGTGCCTTGCGGTCCATTGCTTCTAAACCTTATAGGCTCTTGAGGGTCAAGTGCCACTCTGCATCCCACCTCTTCCCTGCCATCCACCATGGTCCACATTTGCTGAGAACTTTGACACTCACCTCTGTTCCTAAGCCCCATCTCTGACTGCTCTGACCTCTTCTGCTTCTGTGTTTTTCCTTATACTATATTTCCTCCTGGAGAATCTCGTCAACAACCTAACTTGTTCTCTGGGGGAGCCCCTCCCCTCAAGTCCTTCCCCTACCCATCTCTGACCCCTCAACTGTCACTCTTGGACACTCTCCTGGACCCCAGGGGGCATGGTTTCAGCACCCTCTTACCAACACACTGAACCTCTTTACATCCTTTGCCTTCTCCACGATCCAGCTATTCTCCTTTTTGTCTAGACACACAGGCGGCTAAACGCAGCTGGGGAAAATCACAAAACCACTCAGATTTGTGCCAATAAAAATTCACAGTTTCCAATCTCAGCACTACCAAGCAATCCTTTTACATGCTCTTGGTCAGAAATGTCTCTCCTTTCCCAGAGATAGTTCAACAGTATTTTACCTTCACAGCCCTTCCCTTCCTTCTGTCCCCTCTTCTCCTGCTAGGTGGACTTGCTTCCTACTTCACTCAGAAATGGGAGTCCTTAGGTATGAATTCTCTCAGCTTCTTTGCATACACCATTTTCTTCCCTCTGCTTTTGATGGAGGAGGTACTGATCTTCCTATTTTAGCTTAATTGTTTCTCCCGGGCTTGGAATCCCCTTCCGGCTACATTCCCTGGGAAAATCGTCTGTTCTCTGTCTTACCTCATCCCCTTCCTGTCCTTCTTCATGCTTTCCTCCATCTGCACGCAAACTCCTCCTCTCTCAGAAGACAGGCATGTCAACCAGCCATCTGTCCCTTCCTGAGGCCACCCTGTAATGCTTATCTCTTCCCTCCCTCCCTTTTCACCTCCAATGGCCGGGGATTCTTGCTTACTGTCCTTTATCTTCTGACTTGGAAGATTGGTTTTCATTCCTACCATTTTAAGGAAACTGGTCTCAATCAGGTCTTTGATAGTCATCTGCTAACTATAATAGATATTCCAGTCAATCAATTTATTAATTCAATAAATATTTGTTGAGTGTCTCCCATTTGTTATTAATTCAATAAATATTTGTTGAGTGTCTCCCATGTGTTAAGCACTGTATGTACCAGGCTCTAGAGGATACAATGAGATTTTCTAGGTCCTAAGGGAGTTTACTGCCTAGTAAGAGAACAGATACAGTAAAATATTTATATAATTGAAAGATAGTAGTTGTGCCCGAGAAGTAGGGTGCTATGGGAGCCTAAATTATGGAAATTTGCACTGGTTAGGGAAACCTGGACAGAATTCCCTAAGGAAAAGATGTGGGCTGAGATGTGAAGGTGGGTACGAGTTGAAGAGCCCAGAAGGGAAGCAACAGCACTGATCAGTCACTTTGGCACTGTGCTGTGCCAGATGCTGTACTGAGTGTCTCCGTTTTATAAGTGAGTTAAGGAAGGCTGGAGAAGATGTTGCCTTGCCCATGGTCACGTGGTGGGTAGCTGTGCTGTGCTTTCTCCCTAGCAATGCAACCCTGAGTTCATGGTCTTAGCCAGCGCTCTGCCTAGGATGTTCCGCAGTCACTTCTCTCTGTGCATCTCTCTGGTTTTCTTCCTTCCGTTTCTGCCTCTGATACTCACTCCTACTATGGTTTGTCGACTTGAAAGTCTCAAGCCCAACCTGCCTGCATTGGAACTTCTCTTCCTCTAGTCCTGCTTTTCTCCTGCGTTTTCTGTTTCATGGAGTGGTGCTACTATCTACAGCCATCCCTAAAACTACACTCTTTAGTTAGGCCCCTACATCTTTGGCATTTTTACCTCTAAGGACTAGTCAGAACCATCTTTTTTTGGCATCTGCCTAGTTCAGGTATCATCAACTCTGGTCTTTACTATTAAGTGCCCTAATGCATCTCTCTGCCCTCTAATCTATTTCCATCTCTACAGATAGAAGGAGCTTCCTAAAACACAAATCAGATCCAATCATTCAGCCACTTAAGACCCTTTCCTTGCTCCCAAAGCCCACAGCATACATTCTGAACTCCTTATCACACAAGCGCCTCGCCAGCCTCTTATCCCTCCCAGCAATACTATGTGCTATGGCTGCGCAAGACCTACCTTCTCCCTATTATTCCCCCTGTCAATAATGCCCATGACTTCCATCTCCCTACGGGCAGCTTGAAACTCTTATTTATTTTTTAAGACCATCCTCAGACAATGTGTCCTCTTTGAAGCCTTCCCTCAGGGTTAATTACTTTCTTTTTAATGCTGTGTTCTTTACATGCCTGTACCATTATCACTGCACATGTATAATTTTGTAGTTATGTATCTGTCTGCCTGTTTTCTCTGTTCTGAGCTATTGAGGGCAATGAAGTTATCAACCTGATTCAACCAGGTATTCTCAAGGCCCATCCTGGGCCCCAGCATAGGATGGGCATTAGTAATGGCCGGATAATTCAGTGAAGAATGAATGAAGGGCCAAAGGACAATGTTTGCAAGGACAGTGAGATGAGATGGGAGGACATGGGGTGAGAGAGGTGGGAATGGGGTGGGGAGGCAATGGAAGTTAAGTTGAAAATTCTTCTGGCTTCAGTGAGTCCTTGCTCATGGCCAGCAGGAGTAAGAGGTTACAAGGGTTTCATGAGGTGAATGCTTTCCAGAGATAGGTGCTCTGTAACTGGTCTTCCCACACAGACCCGGTGGGTAGTGACCATATGAACATGACCAGGTATAAATCCCTTGCCTAAAGACAAGCCCAGACAGACAAGGGGATCCAACAGGTGAAGGCCCACATGCCCCTGCAGGGCTGGGCAGGCTCCCCATCCCAGTGCTCTCTGCAGGCCTCCATCTGGTGCCCACCCTGCCCAGCACCTCTGGGCTGCGTGTACTGTGTTCTCTCTCAGCAATTTCCCTACCGGAGAAAGCTCTAAGGGTTTCAATTACCGGCGCATGGGATTTAGTGCCCTGGGCTTCTCTGACTGGAGGAGATTTATTTGAAGGTTTAGTGTCGTGGAGAATTCACGTCTTCACTCCCAGGAGCCTAGCTTCCGTCCTGAGCCCCTAAATCAGGAACCAAGATGGGCTATTGTCACTTACCGCATTAGCCTCGTTAGCGGACCAGGAGGGGTGATTAATAGCAATGCACACACAGCCGTCCTGTTCCTGCTGGCTACCACTCCTGTCGCTGCTCCTGACATGGGGAGGGGTAGGGAGCGGCTAAGCCTGCTCTAGAGTGACTGAGGTTTCTGGGCCTCCCCAGCCTCCCTCCCCAGTTCCAGGCAGGGCATTCATGCAGCCCTTCCAAATCTGGGGACAGTTTAAAGGCCAGCAAGTCCAGCCAGAGAGGGTACAGATGGAAGCCTCGGGCTCAACTCCTGAGAGCTAGAATAACAGGGGTGCTGAGAAGGCCGGTTCTTGGATAAGGCCTAGAGTGCACACCTGTGTGCAAAAGGGGTCGTGTGTGAAGTGTGGGAT